CTTTTGCAACAAAACCCTCGCATAACATGTCATACAATACAAGGCATTAGTGTTTAGGAAAAACCGTTTAAAAATACATTTCAATTGCAATTGACTTTTAAACTCAAATCCAGTTTACAGTCAAACCCTTTGCAACGGATTATAATTTATAAACTGATTAACGGATTATCTATTGATACAAACTATTCATCACTCAAACCAATTCATCAGCGATTGAGTCAAATCTTAGTCTTAAACGTAAGTCAAAAACTTTTCCAAACTTTTATCTCAAATGAAAAATACTTTTTTGTTTGACTCAAGAAATGAATCCATTTGATGACTCGGATGACGACATCCGGCCACGTGTTAGGCCTCGTGTCAGAGCATTGAGACTATTGAGTGATAGTGAGGACAGTAGTGTCGGTGATAACGATCTCAATGACGACAACAACAATAGCCTCTTATCACAGACTCGTCATCCAGTGATGAATCGATCACTCAATGAGAGATCCATTGATAAGACTATAGATCTCTGTCTCACAACTGACTCGGATCTCGTGGGCGAAACATCAGGTGCTGACCATCACGTGGTGCTCAACACCAACGCCAGCGCAGAGCCTCTGATCAGCACTTCATTCACATCGCCTCTCATTGAACCGAATCTTACCATTAATACAATGACATCAAAGCAAGTGATAAAAAGTTTGGTGGACGGCGTCGAGCGTCTAGTGGTGGCCACCGATGACGGCAGCGATGGCGACACCGACGACGACCACACAGACACTGAAGAGGTGGACATTTCTGGAGGCGACGGATCGGACGCAAACAAAACCATTGATTTGAGTGGTTTGTTGTCCAGCGATGAAGAGTTGTCGGAAGTATTATCAATTGATGACTTAGTAGCCAATGGCGAGCGCTCTAATGTCACGTCAACGCCGGTGACTAAAGCCAAACCGAAAGCGTATGAAAGGCAAGAGATTGAAGCGATTCCCGAAGTGACAGACCTTAGAGTCGAGACACAGAACGCCATTCGCGCCGAAGAGGAGCGCAAACAACGGCTGAACCAGAGGTTTGTTCCCATTTTGACTACAATTAGAAATTGAAATGATTTTTGTGTTTTAATTGTCGCCAAAGATATGCGGATCTGTCTGATGATGACGTTTTTGAAGTGGTTTCGCCGCAGATATCACCGCAAGTGATAGATATCAATGATAGCACTGATGAGGACGACAATCACCACAAAACACGACCCGTTATTAAGCGATCGCTGAGAGACACCGCCGGACAAGACTTTGCCGACTTTGGTCTCCACACCGACGACCGGCTCAATACAGCCGAAGCGGACGGTAGAGTACTGGTCAATGTCCGCCACCCGCCCGAAGATCCAGACATATATCTAACCAGAAAGTTATCGGATGCCATACACCCGCACCAAATCGGTGGCATTCGCTTCCTTTACGATAATATCATTGAAAGCATAGACCGCTACGAGAAGAGCCCCGGTTTCGGTTGTATCTTATCTCACGCCATGGGTTTGGGAAAGACAATGCAAACCATTGGTTTAGTAGACGCGCTGCTCAGGGAAGAGATCGTCAAACGTGTACTGATTGTATTGCCGGTGGCAGTGCTCGGCAACTGGCGCTCGGAGTTTGACCGCTGGTCTCCCGCTAAACGCCGCGCTTACGACGTCTATGCCGTGATGGCTGTCCAGACCTATGACCGTCAGGCGCGTGAAGTACACAATTGGCGTAAAAATCACGGCGTTTTGCTCATCGGTTACGAAAAATTTAAAGGTATGATCGCTGAGAAGAACTTTAAGGCCAAGAAGTGGTCGGTTTACGATCCAAAAGAGCTTAAGGACACCGAACGGATGATTCGACGGGCACTCGTAGACCCGGGACCCGATGTGGTGGTGTGCGATGAGGGCCACAAGATTAAGAACGCGGCCTCAAAGATTTCCAAAGCTCTTAAGCAGATCCGGACCCGACGCCGAGTCATACTGACGGGTACGCCACTGCAAAACAATTTGCTCGAGTATTGGTGCATGGTCGACTTCGTGCGGCCCAACTTTCTTGGACACCAAAACGAGTTTAAGACAATGTTTGACAAACCCATCAAAAACGGTCAGTGCGTGGACTCAACTCCCGATGACATACAAGTCATGAAAGAGAGAGCCTTTGTATTGCACGACAGAATGAAGGGTTTTGTTCAGCGGTATTACATTATATATTGTTTGTATTTGTTTTAATGCCATTATTTGTCATTCATAGCCGAAGCCATGATGTTGTGAAGAAAACACTTCCTCCGAAGCGTGAGTTTATAATCTATTGCCGCTTTACACACATCCAGAAGGAGCTGATGGAGTCGTTTATCGGCACCGCTATCGATAATCCCGATATTATTGGCCGAATGGACGGCAAAAGGATATCTATTTTGACACTGTTTGCCAACTGCACGAAGATCTGGAACCATCCCGACATCTTCTACAAAGTGGTCCGCGAAGGCATTGCCAGTCAGGGCCAGGACTTGGAAGAGGGGCTGAGCGATGATAACGAGGCCAGGAATGGGATAGAAATGGACAAAATAGCGAACAGAATGACCGACTATTCGTTCGCCGCGCCTATAGTTGAGGACTATCGGCGGGAAATGATTGAAAACTCATATAAAACAGTGCTTTTGTTTGAGATAATACGCGAGAGTATAGAAGTCGGCGATCGACTTCTGGTGTTCAGCCAATCGCTGTTAACTTTAAACTTAATTGAGAAATTCTTGGAGTCCCGAGACGTGCCGCTGACGGCCCGGCGTTGGCGTAAAGATCATAATTACTACCGTTTGGACGGCTCGACACCCGCTAAACAACGCGATCTTTATATCAAACAGTTTAACGAATCAGAAAAAGTTAAATTGTTTCTGATCTCTACCCGAGCGGGTGGTCTGGGCATCAATCTGACCGGTGCTAACCGTATAGTCGTTATGGACGCCAACTGGAATCCTTGTCACGACAGTCAGGCCGCCTGTAGGATCTACCGATACGGACAGGTATGTGAAGCACTCATTAACTTATTTTTCAAATCAATTTTTAGATTCTATTATCATTTTGTGATCCTTTACAGCAAAAGCCGTGTTATATCTATCGTTTGGTTTGTGATAATTCACTCGAGAGGAAGATATCTAATAAACAAGTTTGCAAACAAGGGATGGCTAAGCGAGTGGTCGACGGACACGTGATTGAGGGTGTCTTCGCATGGAATGAGATCCAAGCTTTGCTCCTAAACTTACGTTCTATCGATGAGCCGCCCGTCAAGACGTATACCGAAGACCAAGTGTCTCATCTTAAGGACCCTCTCCTCGAGCGGATCTGTTGTGACTTTGGTTTTGCCATAACAGACATTCCTCGCGAGTATGATTCACTTCTTGAGGACCGCAAAGACCAGGTGCTGACCGACGCCGAGAAGACTAATGCTTTTGTGGCCATTGAGGACAGGAAGCGAAATATGTTGTTTACTCAACCGATACCCACTTCAGCGCAAACTGGTTTCCATTAACTTTACGATTGATCTCAACTCTCACTCCAATCATAAGTGTTTTTTCCCAATTTATTACTGTTTTCATCGAAATATTTATTTTATATAATTTTGTAAATTTTATTTTCGTTTAATTATTAATCGTTTGATTGAATTATAACTATTTAGCTCTTAATAGCATTTCTTAAATTTATATAAAACACAATTTACTTATCAATTGAAAAATATAATTAAAATGAGTTATTATTTAACAAATGTTTAACTTTACGATAAAATTAATTAAATAGTGTTTTGACAACAATTAAGTATAGATTAATATCACGATTAAAGCATGAATACAATAGTTATTAAAACAAATCAAAAGTTTTAACCGTTATTTCAAAATTGAATCCCAAATCAGATATAATGGACAGAAAAATGAGTAAAATTAAAGACAAATCGCAAGAATCTAAGCGACAAAAGTCGCAAACAGTGGGACAGAAGAAACAGCTCCGGAAGTCGAAACACCGGCGCCGGAGAGTTGACAAATACTATGACGCGGTGGCGGACGTACGGGAGCTCGAAGTGGAGGAACTGATCAAATTCATAAAGAGTTCGTTCAGTATCTCATTTAAGGCACACTTTGCCCAAAAGTTCTTGGAGTCAGATCTGTGGCGACTGTTCACCGGGTCGTTCGTCTCGGCGCTGTTCGTGGCCTACGATTCGCCAATACTGGCGCTCCTGTCGTTTGGGGCACTCGTTATCACATATTGGCAACAAAGCAAAGGCGATAAAACAGATGCCGTCGACTACTGTTCCCAACAGTTGGCCAAAGATCCCGAACGACTCAAAGTATTCCTCGAGACCATTACCTCGCCAAAGACGGCGACCAGAGGCCAGTCGTATGAACACCAGTGCGAATGGCTTAACGATATATTCGCCAAATTCTGGCCAAATATCAATAGTATAGCGCAGACAACGATCGACGCCCAGGGCTTTCAAGACAAGGGCCTCACTGTTGGCGGACACACCATATTCTTCGAGCGCTTCACTTTGGGTGATAAACCGCCGGCCGTTACAGGGATTCGAGTTCGCAAAAGTGGTCACCGAAAGGACGAGATTGTGATCCTTTTGAAACTCATTTACTTTGGCAACTGTTTGGTACTCTTTAGCTATAAGACAGCGCTGGGATTGAAGGCAAAGGCGGGCGTCAAAGACGTCTATTTTCGGGGTACGGCTGTACTGGTGTTGAGGCCACTGCTGGAAGTGCCGCCATTCATAGGCGGTCTGTCCGTATGCCTACAAGATGTGCCACTTCTGGACTATA